TTGTTTTTTCTTGAAATGTTGATTTTTCAGAAAACTAGAAACCTAGAAAACTTTTTAAGAGCCTTGCCACAGATTGTGGCCCAACGAAGGATGATGGAGAAAAATTTTTGCTGACGAAACTATTCCTTGGGTGCCAAATGGGTACTGAATGTAATACTTTTTCCAGTGTGACGGAAAAATTTTGAGAAAAATTGACTTTTAAGTTTTTTAGTAATTATTTTTTAAGATGAATTTGAACAGTTCACATAAAAGAGCAGACGAAATGAGTTGCTAACTATCTGGTCTGTTTGATATAGCAAGAAAACCTTCGGCTGATGGCGTTATATGTGAATGATTTTCATGCACAAAAAAATGTCTTTGAAAGTAAAATCATGATTATCAATGTAGAGATTTAGAGCTCCATTAAAACAGACGAAATAAGAGAGCCATTATCCTGTCCTGGTAGCCTATGGTGGGAGCCGGCAAATTGTCGGTGTCGGTACAGACTAATTTTGAAAAACTTTTCCAGAAGGGTTCCTCGAATGCAGCTTGATCGATCCACACCGTAATGCGATTGCCTTTACAACTGAAAAGGAACTGCGTTCGTTCCCGAAGCCGGTCTTCCCATTCTCTCTGTTTATATTCGTCAACAGGATTGAAGCTAGGATCAATAATTTCGACAGTAAGGCTACGGAGATGCCGTAAATGATTTTTTAGCTTCGGAACATTATGGAGATGAGTTGTGTTGATCATCAAATGTTCAATATGTGGAAAAATATTTGCAATAACCAAGATATATTTCTCACTAAATGTATGCTGATTAACAGACACATCAAGTCGTTTGAGGTGGCTATTTTGCCCGATTTCAGGAGCTTGATGGAGAACCAGCTGGTCGAAGTTAATTTTGAGTGAGGTGATATTCGGGATCCTTTTTATCAACGAAGAAATTGCGTTAGGTTCCTTGTCCGATGACAAAACAGTCAGCTCGGTAATGCGTGAGACACTGACAAATGCTATGATCCATTCGAAAAGAGTTGAACTTAGGCAACATACTGTGAGATATTTCACGTTGACAAGGTACGGGTGATTTGGTTTATCTGGGAGAAAAGACATACCAGAGAGGCACAACGTAGTGATGCAATGTATCACGTGAACGTCATCGTTAACAGAACGTTGCGGGGCTGTCCACCATCCGATGGTCGTAGGATTATATGTAGGATCATATGTAGAGCTGTCAGTCCAGTTCAACTGTCGCCAACTATCACTATGCGCTCTAATTGCGACTTCGGTATTGTTATCAACTTCATCTTGCACTGTTATCGTTATACGAAAATTTTTCTTCGCGATCCAGAATGGAGATTGAAATGAATCGAGTACTGTACGATGAGCGATGTTTTCCTGATGAAACAAATTTATGTTAAGACTAAAATGAGACAGTAGTTGCAATGACGTCTTGAACACCAGTTCCCAAGCACTTCCATCAGCAAGTATACTGTGTGTATTGACTTCGAGACAACGGAGAAACGGCATAGCGCGCAACCATTGCGTTAATATATCAAACATTTTTGGATCTTCGTCGTCGACACGTATAATAAGTGTATGAAGTGTAGGCACTGATATGACATCAACCTTTTTTGGCAATACTAATCGCGCACGCCGAAAGGGAAAGAATCGACTACTGGTCAGTTGTATATTAAGGTATTTGAGACGAGAAGCACATTGAAAAATATATTGTAGATGCTGCCATTCGCACTGCATATCTGTGATAGTCAGATGTTCAATGTTTGAAGAAGCAGCTGTTAGAAAACGCCAACATTCAGTGCGAATATCCAAGGAGAGAGAAAGCTGTTTGAGCGTTCTCAACCGAAAAATATTCGAAAAGAAATTCTCCATATTTAAGTTCGACGTATTTGTTGCTTTGATTGATAGTGTATGAATGTTTGTGTTGGACAAAGAAAGAAGGGCCTCGTGAACTCCATTCCAGTTGACGGCTTTCGCATCAAAATTAAAGTAAAGTCTACGAATCTGCCTGAATGAAGTAAATGATGAAAAATACGCTAAGAAGGCATGCGTCTGACCAGGTGTGTCACGCTCGGATAGAGTTAAACCGCGTACCTTGTTGAAATAGGCGGGCAGAAGACCGATGCAAACACGAAAATCGTCTTTTCGTATACTTGCAAAATCAAAGTGGAGTTGTTGGCATTGGGCGATGAGCGAATCAAAACGGCCATTGAGCTGGTTAGCGAAAGCAATAAGTACATCGACGCCGTTGACATATTTCTCCAGAAGATCAATCAATATTTCGTTAGGAAGCGATTCTAGCTTTGAGAGCGACATTCTCTGGCTAAAGATGGCAGCCGAACAGCTAGAATCCTTTCGACTGTTGTGCAATTACTTTTTTCTACTGATTCTTTCACTGTCTCGAGTGAATGAGTCAATGAAGAAATAATGCATGTTTTTCTTGACAGTATTGAATAGCAGTTCTCCCCTTTCTCATGGGTAAGAAACTTACTTTCTATGCTTTTATATAGTCAATCATAACGGTGTGTCACGGTTGTTTTTAACGTGTTCTTCCATCAGCTACGAATACATATTTGTGAATTGAAGGTGAAATAAGAAAGTAAAGCCTTACAACAAATTTTGAAAAGCACAAGTAGAAGAATGGACAAATGAATGAGAGAGAGTCATTAAGGATACTAAACAAATATGTATCCTACTTTTCAAACTCTAGAGGCAGTAAACGACTTGTTGGTGTCCAAGATAGAACTACTGAAAATATATTGCGGTATGTCCTAAAAAACGCGTTTTACACTCATCGTTTGAATAAAATTTTTAAAATATAGAACGAAGAAACGTTGTTTTCATCGTACGTATTTTAAGCACGTTCCCACATATCAACAATATCTTGGACATTAACACATCGTTTACTGCCTCTAGTGTTTGAAAAGTATGATTCATATTTGTTTCGTATCCTTAGTGACTCACTTTCATTTATTTGTTCTCTGACAACCTATATATGCATGCATTAAAAGAAAGTGATGCAACTGCACTGTTACTTTTTCGCGTTCCTTGCAGGCTGCTTATTGTGTTTTTACCTTTGTGAAGCTGCGTATAAAGAAAAAAAATGAATGAAGAATTTATGAAGAAGTGTTTGAACTGATTCATCAAGTAGATCCAGGGTACAGCCACCGATCCTTAACGACTTCATTGCTGGGACTGTCTGAAATCATTTTTCGGACAGATGTTTATGCTAATGAAGACTGTGTATACAGACATGAACAAAACGTAGCGATACTTACTTTCGTCAATGTTTGAACTAATCGAATTAATATTTTTATGGTTGATAGAGCTCTATGAACTCTGGTCTAGAGCACCGATCCGCCTTCGTTTTATTAAAATATACCTCACGTATGAATCGAGCACTGTCTTTACTCTTGGACTAGAATATTTTCTCCATTTCAGCACTTCCATTTTCGCGCTATTCCTTAATCAAAAGTCCAGTGTTCCATTCTGCTTTATTGAAGATTTCGTCGAAGATAGTTGACAAATGATAACGATGCGATTTTTTGTCTACAAATGTTTTTCCATTGTTACCGCTCAATAAGGAGGATAGAACTCAGAATGACTCGGATTGATTTAGTTGAATTTTTCGGAAAATTCTGATATGCAAATCTGGCTCACTAAATAGAAAAATGGTTAAAGGCATATTTTGCTAAGAATATTCCCTCGACATTCGAACTGAACACTGGAGAAAATATTGACGTCCACTCAACGAATATATCAGAGACACGTGCATGAATCTTTGACTTGATGTGGGTCTTTATTCGGTTACCAAATCATCATTATTGAGCATGAAAGTAAATGTATAGTTCAAAGAATTCTCTAAAGACTAAAACTCTGAATGAAGCCAAAGTTGTTGCAGGTCCCCGATATACCTGCTAATTAGAAATCAGTCTTTTCCGTACGTTTCAGTTCGTTTGGCTCAAATGTCAAGAGAATTTTCAATAAAAGGTTTTTAAAAAAGCCACTTTTCGATTCAGTGAGCCGGGTTTGCATATCATATTATTTCTTTAACTTTATGAGCTATAACTGACTTTTTAGAGTTAGCTGAGGCATCAGTTACTTGCTTTCTTGTGTGCAAATATAGCATCTCAAGCCGTTAATATTTAACGTTTTGGTAAACCGTTTAACATGTTTTTAATATTGTTGAGAACAACTCATTGCTGATCACGAATCAAGTAAGACACGCCGCGATGCAGAGAAAATACAGTACTTTTGACCGGTAGAAGAAAGACACAGATGGACTTTCAGGGAAAGAAATCCAGTTGAAGAAATAAGTATATTATAAATCTTGGATTAAAGCAAAGCTTTAAAAAAAGAGTAGTTAGACACGCGAGAAAAAACAGAAAAATATCATCTAGTTAGATTTCTAAGAGTACATCACGAGATTTAAACCTAACTAAAAGACAAGCTCTAACAGTCTGCTACTTTAATTACTATATCTAGCTTGTAGGACGGCAAGCAAAGGCGATGAAATTAAATAAATGTGATATATGTACATGTGTAGACTGAAAAAGAAAACAACCCGACGAACCAAGTAAATCGATCTTTCAACTGGAAACGTGCAAATATGTGCTGCTCAGCAGAGCCTGCTGTGAGATTCTACTCACTCACTTCTCATATTTACTTGCATAAAGTGGACGGCTATATATAGTACACAAGTTGAACAACAGTTATGCAGGAGTTGCGCAAGAACAGAAAGAGTTGGGAAAACCAGAGGATGAAACAAGTATTGCGCAAGAACAGAAAGAAAGGAAAAGAAGAAGAGAACATAGTCTTATGAGCTGCCAGGAATGGCAGATCATAACACCTGCTTTTTCTAACAGATTCTAGAGTGCTCTATGGACATCCACTTTTAGTATGACCTCCATGTACGCATTTATTCGAAATCCTTTACGTACGACCACTTGGTCCTCTCTATTTAAGGAATGTTGAATATTTAGGAAAGACAAGATACAGAAATGGATGGCAGCAAGAAGTCACCTGACGGCGCTGCGAAAGAACATCAGCAGCTACCGAACGACATCGGTGAACAACGATATACTGAAATCGCTGAACAAACGACGGCGGCTATTGTCGCTCAAGGACCACCGCCAGTCGTTAATAGCAGACCGTCCATAGAACCTGCTCTTCCTGAATTACCTCGATTTTGGCCTCCGCCCTTACCTCCTCGTCGTGTTGGGGCTAATTTTCCCAGGGCGTGCCGCATGTTGTTTCCCACTTCGGGTCATTTGGGTTTTGGCCTATTAAAATATTCCGAGGAAGAACCACCGATCCATACACTTCGCGAGATGATAGTTTATGAGACACGCCTTCGCTTGTCCGATTCGATTCAAGAGCTCATGGATTTGTACCATAACGACGAGGCCGCTGTCACGTGAGTTTAAATTTTTTCCTGTCTAGCATAGCGACTATTGTTATTGAATTATAGTCTCGTGCACGATATTATTCAGCAGCATGTGGTGGAACATTTTGGCTATCAAGATGTGAATGCCCTACGCACCGCTTTGTATCGCTTTCCAGACGACTCTGTCATCAAGGCAGCTTTCTATGGTATGTTCATGTTGTTCCTTATTTAAAAATGAAATGAAATTCTTATTTAAATTTCAAGTTTTAAGTTTGCTTCGTCAAATAAACTCAACTTAGACCCTTTACGCTTCGATTGAGTAACCCACTAATCTCTCAGACCGTGAAAAAGCTTTTGAAAATAAGAATATGAGGAGAAAACTTGCTCCCACCTTTCATAAAACTTTTTCCGTAAAAAATATTTTGTGCAATATATCAGTCGACTGAGCTCTATGTATGATTCTGAATCTCAGCCTGTTTCCACCTGAAGGTTTCCTAGGCTAAGAAAGATCGATTTTAGCTGAGAAAATTTTGTGTGGGAAAATCCACAGTGCTCTCTCGAAACGGTTGTGCTATATTACCTTAATGTTATCGAAGCCGACCGGTTACAAGAATGTGTAGCAAAGTTTGATTAAAAATGAGTGTGAATAAGTTAAAGAAAATACGGCTTGTTCAGCTAACGACCTCCATTTTTTGCTCTTCTTCAAAACGTCATTGCAATTATTGCAAAGCTACAAACTAATCTAAAATGGCAAATAGATAATTAAGTATATTAACCCTTTCGGCACCGGTGACGTTTTACAACGTCATTAAATTTCATGTTATCTAACACAGGAGAATTTGAATTTTTTCTCGTTTCTTGAAGTAAATGTTTTGTTATCGCCCTATATATGACCCTTAGATTGCTACAAAGAGGAAGATTAATACAGAAATAAATTCAGGCGCATTAAGATCTCAATCATTTTTGAAAAGTTGAGAAATTTATAATTATCGCTCGAAATAAGTCGGTCCTGGAAGGGTTAAGCATTTCTCTACAGTATGAAAAGTGTCTCGGCTTTCAACATTGATTCGTTATCAAAATATAGCTGTTGTACAAACAGCCTTAAAACTCGATTTTGTAGCTATTTGAAAAACGTGTCTAAAAGAGTGAAGACGAGCAGGCGAAAATTGAACAAGTATACCAGTTTGTAGAAAATTGTTTGCTCTACAAGATGTGATAGCTTGTCAAGCTCGAAACTATTCTAATTAATCTGTATTAATCGAAGAAAAACCAGGAAAATCGTGACGCTGTAACAAAAAACGGTCAGAAGTGTCACAGCGTCACGATTTTTCTTTGATTAATACAGATTACTAAGAATAGTTTCGAACTGGACAAGCTGGCATATCTTGTAAATAATCTTCTACAAACCGGTATACTTGTTCAATTTTCGCCTGTACGTCTTCACTCTTTTAGGCACGTTTTTCAGATAGCTACAAAATCGATTTTTGGGGCTGTTTGTACAACAGCTGTATTTTGATAACGAATCGACGAGCAGAGCTGAGACACTTTTCATACTGTAGAGAAATGTTTAATATACTTAATTATCTAGTTGCCATTTTAGATTAGGTTGTAGCTTTATTATAATAACTTCTTGAAAAAGAGCAAAAAATGGAGACCGTTAGCAGAGCAAGTCGAACAGTGAAGTTTTATAGATCTCAACTGAAATACCTTTCCACTAGCCGATAGTGAACCGTGTCTAGATTTAGAATATATGCTGTTTTGATATGTAACTCGCTTGATTCTTTTGTGTATAAAAACAGACATTCTAAACATAGCATTATTTTCCAAATACTTTTTGACTAGTTCTTCTTTCTATACTTCTTAAATCTTGTAATAAAATATTTTATATCCTCAGATGAAGAATATTTTAAAGTTTATTTGCCATTAGGGGCAAAAGCTGATTGTTTAAGACGCTGACGAAGAAATGTTTCTGTTTTTCATTGTTTGATTCTTTTATTCGAGCGAATTTTGAAAGTATTATGATTTTTGGGAATCCGACGACATATTATAACTTGCGAAAAGTTTCGAGCAAGTTAAAACTCTTTGCTTGTTTTTCCGAAAAAAGCAGAAGTATTAGTCATTACTGATCAAATAGCTTTCGGGTATTTCCAGTCGAGCTGTCGCCTAAAAAAAACCAGAGGGACTCTGTACGCTGGTGCCGCCAGTTTTCTTCGACCCGTTAGTGATGAAATAATCGGCTTACTCCTCTATTTATCACTGTCTAAACTGGAGGAAGGTTAACTTACATCTTTCTACCGCTATATATGGAGCCAGTCGGCCGTTTGTGACATAGTTGTCTAATTCTTGGCCGTTGGAAGGAAACCACAACTTTGAGCTAACTGCCAATCGTTTTTCATGTTCAGAATTTCCAGTTGAATTCACACAGATTTCGTTCACTTGCTCAAATCCTGTCGTGTTGAACTCTGCATGCTGCGTACACCTAGTAGATACCCTCTCCACTTGTTTTTTTCCATTCTTCTCGTCGGAGGTTCATATCTGAAAGTAACAAAATCGGTGTCGTCTCACTACTGACCACTGACCCAGCAGGTGTTTGCAAAAAGTCTTTTGAATTAAATTTTCTCTTCTACTCATTTTCAGTAAAGCACAATAAAATCACTCAGGGTGTGATCAATCAGAGTCAATGTGCTCGCAATGTTGATTTATTCACCTTGGACGGTCGTCCCACCACCCTCTTCTCCCAAATATCAGCGGGCCAACCTTTGGTGTTGTTGGCCGGCTCAACTACCTGACCCCCGTTTCGGGCGTCTGTTGAGCGGATGAAGTAAGTCTTTGTTTTCCATTTTGCATAAAAAATTAATTTTCATCGAACTATTCTAGCGCGCTGTTCCGCTCTCATGCGCCTACTGGAATGCGGCTGTTGGCGATCTACATTGCTGAGGCACACGCACGTGATCAATGGCCTGTAGGCAAGACTATTTCGTGTGTGGATCAACCGACGACAATTGATCAACGACTGAAAAATGCTTCTGAATTCAGAAAGACCTTCAATTTTGAAATGCCCATGCTCGTCGACAACATGGACAATACTTTTCACACCACCTACGGATCGTGGCCATTTCGCTTCTATGTTATCCACGAGGGCAAAATAG